GACGAGGAGTTTCCTGAAGGCCCAGAGGTTGCGGAGAGCGCCCAAGAACTAGGAGCCTCATGCCTCGAGCCTCGATCCACCCCGTGTTCTTTCCTTTGCGAAGGGGTGGCACCTGTAAGGGAGGCCGATCTTCATCCCAGACTTTAGGCGGTGGTCCCCGGCACCGAAAACGGTTCTTGGAGACTAACTTCGAGGACATGCCTCGGGTGGTTGACAGACCACGAAAATCTGTGAGACATCGGCGGCCACGACGACATCTTATTTCTTTGTGTCCTCTTCTTCCTCCTCGTCCATATCCTCTTCTTCTCGATCGAGGTGGATGCGCGCGGCAGTTCATATTTACACATATATATATATATATGAACATATATATATACATGTAAATATTTGTATGTATGTATATGTGTATAAATGCACATGTGTAATTATACATTGATATATAATATAATATAATATAATATAATATAATATAATATAACATAACATAATATAGTATTATATATATATTATAGCGATCTTCGGCCCAGCCCGCCACCGCGCCTTGGTTGTCGGCCTGAGATCCTTGGTGCCTGGGCTGCGGGTTAAAAGTTAATGCCTCAAGTGGTACTTGGGGCTTCTTTGGGGCGTCTTGGCGGCCTCCTGGGGCCTCTTGGGGGGCCTCTGGGGGTCCTCTTGAGATTTCTTAGGAGCCTCTTGCGGGCCCCATGGGCCCTGTTGAGCGCTTCTTGGGCCCCCTCTGGGGCCGTTTTGGGGCGGAAGGCTCGGATTGTTGATTCAGGCTCCTCCTCTTGGCCCCCTCATTGGGCCGTCTTGGGGCACTCTTGGGCCGTCTTGGGAGCCTCTTGGGCCATCTTGGCGCCCTCTTGGGCCGTTTCGAGCGCCTCTTGGGAACCTGTCGGGCCGTTTTGGGGCAGTCTTGGGTGACTCTGGGGCCGTCTTCAACGCCGTGAAGGCCGAAGAAACGTGCATGATAAAATGTAGGTTTCCCCAGCGGAATTCGACGATTTTGGCCTCGTGGGCCCCATCTTGGGGATGCTCTTGGAGGCTTCCTGGGCCGTTTGGGAGGCTTCTGGGGCCGTCTTGGGGCCATCCTGGGCGTCGGGGCCGGACCGTCTTGGGCGGCCCCAGAAGCTGTCGGGGACTCCCTAAAGGAGCCCGGGAAGAGCCGGACCCCCCGGGTGAGCTCCGGCCGGACGGCCCCCCCCTCCTCCAATTCGACCGGACCAGGCTCCGGGGGGAGGGGTTTGGGGAGGGGGAAGCATCTCACACGCCGATGATTGGAAAAGCGACAACGCGAAGACCCAACAAAAACCAAGATAACAAATAACGGATGTTTGCGTCTTGGGCCTTGTTTGTGCCGGCTCGAGGGCCTCCTGAGCCGCCTTGAGGCCATTTTGGGAGCAGTGTTGGCCGTCTGGAGACCTCGAAGACCGCCTCGGAGGTTCCTTGGGAAGCTCCTGGAGGAGCTTTATTGTGCCCAGGAGTTCTGGCAACTCTGACCCGACCTCGCCGGGACCAGCGTGGGTCTTGCTACAGGTTGGAAAAGGTGTTCTCCAAACGTTGCCAGCAGGACTTATGTGAGCGATGGTTTCGCTACGTGATACAGTGTCCGCACCAACTTCGCCTGTCATATTTCAGCACAGGAGTACAGAATGCCGATCAGTATATGTGATGACTAGACACCGTTCTTGTCCACGCGTTTGCACCCGCGACGTTTGTGAGGCACCAAGCAACTTGGGAGGACGTCTCAAGCGAAACCGCGTCAAAACCAGAGCAAACCAAGAAAGTTGGGAGGACGTCTCAAGCGAACCCGCGCCGAAACCAGGCGAAACCAAGCAAATTGCGAGGATGTCTCATGCGAAACCAGGCCAGAACCAGGCGAAGAGACAAATTTCGAGGACGTCTCGGGCCAAACCGCGCCCAGACCAGGCGAAATAAAGCATATTGTGAGGATGTCTAAGGCGAAACCGGGCCAAAAGCAGGCGGAGCCAAGGGCGAAAGCTGGCACATTGCGAGGATGTCTCCGGCTGCTTGCGCCGCCGACCGGGCCAAACCAGGCGAAGCCAGTGGCGACACCATGCAAATTGTGAGGACGTCCTCGGCAGAATCGAGGAACCAGGCTCCGTCCACTCTCCTCTTGAAAATTCGATTTAAAGGAGTGCATGACCGGCCCACCCGCAGGCGCAAGCCCGTGTAAAATTGTATGGGGGTGGGGCGTTTGGACCACGCGACCGATGAGGCGGACGGGCTTGGGCGCGGAAGATGTTGTTTGTCGTTCGGGTGTTGTTGTTGTTGGTGGTGGTGATGGTGGTGGTGTTGGTGTTGGTGTTGGTGTTGTTGTTGTTGTTGTTGGTGTTGGTGTTGTTGTTGTTGTTGTTGTTGCTGCTGCTGCTGCTGCTGTTGTTGTTGTTGTTGCTGTTGCTGTTGCTGTTGCTGTTGCTGTTGCTGTTGCTGTTGCTGTTGCTGTTGCTGTTGCTGTTGCTGTGGCTGTTGCTGTTGCTGCTGCTGCTGCTGCTGTTGTTGTTGTTGTTGTTGTTGTTGTTGGTGTTGGTGTTGGTGTTGTTGTTGTTGTTGTTGTTGTTGTTGTTGGGGTTGTTGTTGCTGTTGTTGTTGTAATTGTAATTGTTGTTGTAATTGTTGGTGTTGTGGTTGTGGTTGTTGTTGTTGTTGCTGTTGTTGGTGTTGTTGGTGTTGGTGTTGGGGTTGTTGGTGTTGGTGTTGGTGTTGGTGTTGTTGTTGGTGGTGTTGGTGGTGTTGTTACTGCTGCTGCTGTTGCTGTTGTTGCTGTTGTTGTTGTTGGAGCTCTGGTGTGGCGTTCAGAGGAGTGTTTCCGAGCGTGTAGTCTGCGCGCGCGGACTAGCAATGCATTCACATTTTCACACTATTGCCGGATATTCTAGCACGCCTTCCTTGGCATCGCTCGGACGTGTGCATTGTTTCTCGGCGAGGACCATCGAGGAGGATCCTTGACCATTCGACGAGAAAACCACGCACGAAGCCGAAAAAAAAACACAGGGAATGGACGCCCGAGCGATGGCGAGGTTTTTCGCACCAGTTTCGGAGATTCTAGCACGCCTTCGGCCCTTTGGGCCAGCGAATCGGGTGCTGTTTGGGTGCCTGCTGCGGCCATGGCACGTCGGCCACATTGGGCGGCCTTGGCGGCCTGCCTGGGCAGTCTCCTGGAGAACCCCCAGCGAGGCGCCTGGGTGTCCAAGGGGCCTCGGGGGAGGGGCGGGGGAGGGGCGTCGCACGCCGGGTAGTGTGACGAGAGGGGCTCAAAATTAAGAGGAGCCCTACCATCAGGAGGGAAAAAAACACACAGACACAATTCATCGTCCACTCCCAGGAAAATATGGGAAAATAGTATGGGAATTGGCGGGGAAGACAGAAACCCAGAAAGTATAAGAAAACATGGGGGATCCGTTGATTTGTGTGTATTCATTTGTGTGTCCCAGGGCCCCTTCACACCAGACGGCACGGCACGATCCCTCTGACGCGAGGCTACAGCAGGCCGACAGCAGGCCGAGAGCCGCGCCTCCCCCCCATAAATTCTTCCTCGCCACCCGACGAGTGGTCTTGCAGGTGCAGCTGACACGAGGCGCACGAGGAGGAGGAGGAGGAGGAGGAGGAGGAGGAGGAGGATCACGAGGAGCACGAGGAGGAGGAGGAGGAGGAGCAGGAGGAGCAGGAGGAGGATCCCATCAAGGAGGCCTCGAATCGTTGCACACGTACAGCTCCAGCTTTTGCGCCCCGGAGTGGTCTCTCCATCTTCGGGTACCTCCGCGGGGCGGCGGGCCCTCGGCGCAGAGGCTCCTGCTCCTGACCAAGCGCTCTCTGGTGCCCACTCCTTCGACTCCGGATGCAGATGGAGACAGATCCAGCTGCGCCGCCGCGCGACTCCAGATGCAGATATAGACAGCCCCTCGCTGAGGGAGTCCGCTCGACGACTCTGGATACAGATATAGACTCTTCACTCCAGATACGGATATAGACAGCCCCCTCGCTGAGGGCGGGCGGGAGCCCGCAGGGATAGGTGCCATGGGGCCTTCCGCCCGGACGTCCTGGCTTCTGTACACGATTCATGCGCGGAGGCCAAAACATCTGGGGGCGTGGCCGGACGAATGAGCCTATGTCAGGAGCCTTGCGTCGTGCGTAGAAGCGGAGGCCAGCGCGAGGGCGGGTCGCCTAGCACGAAAGTGATCGTTTTTGGTATTCATTAGTTTGCCGATCGGCGCGGGCCCTCGCCCCCCCCCCCTTCCCCCCCCATGGAGTAGATCTTGGCTGTTTTTGGTGCATGTTTCAAGCAGGGGACGCACGGTTGCAAACAGTCGCTCTAAGCAGAGGTCCAGAGCCAGACCCCCCCCCCCTCCCCCCCCCTTTCGCCCAATGTCGAAACGCCGACCATGAAAACGCTCACAAAGTGGTGGGTTCCCCACAAGCCGTCCTGCCTTGTGCGAAGTCCTGCCAGAGGCCCCAGGTCATTCCTCAGAAGTTTGCCTTTTTCCTAGTGTTACCCTCCCCTGCAGGATCCATATCGATGCGATCGATCCGATTCGATATCGATTCTGGCTGGCCCGATACGGCCCGATGCTGGCATGGCGTTGTTGTCCATCTTGGCGCGACCGATTGGGCTCGATTCCGATTCCGTGACACGTCTATAACAAATACGTTGTTGTACTGTACGTCCGAGACCCCACGTGGCGCTCAGTAGTTGTACTGTGCTGCCTAGTTTGTCTGCACGTCCGCCCCGTGAGATGTGGGACGACGTTCAGGCCTCGTTCTGAATGAATCCAAAAGGGAATCCGACGTGAACCCGGCGCAAGTTCGACGTGAATCCGACGTAAAGGTCTCAAGCTGCCGCGCGAGGCCTCGATGCTCTTCATAGCGATGTAGCCCGATCCGATGCATGCGCCGATCCGCTGCGTTTTCGCGATTCGATGCTGGCTGCCCTAGCTTTGGCACGTCCCCGAGCCCCAGTCCTGCGCCCGCGCACTCCGCAGGCACCCGGCCGCCTGGTACGCCGCGCAGTTGTTCCCGTTCGTGTTGCGCATGATGTCTGACACCAAGGCATCTTCCGCGGAGGTGGGAGAGGGGGAGTCGCCAGGCAGAGCCCATTTCGCCGCGGCCCATTCGGTCTCGAGTCCAGCCGGCCCGATCCGATGCGGCCCCGACCTTCCGACGATCCGATGCTGCCCGATGCTGGCACGGTGCTGGTGTGCATCCTGGCGCAGCCGGCCCGGTTTGACCCCCGACTCCTTGGAGATTCGGGCCGAGCGAAAGGGGGGGGGGTAGGGGAAGGGGGGGGGGTACGAGATCTGCGGCATGCAGCTGGTTTCGGCCCCGCCGCTGGGCCCATTCCTCGACACACAGGCGCCTCCTGGCCCCGGGAGGCGCTGGGAAAATCAGCTACGTGAGCTCATTCTCTACCCTGCCCTTTGCTATCCCCCCCATCCTTCGCTCCCCCCGAAAGATGCAGCCCAATCCGACGCACGCGCGGATTCGATCCGATGTCCCGAGGCGATGCCGACGGATCTGTGGGAGCACGCGTCGTCCCACGGCTGCGGAGGCCTCTCGGGCGCGCCGGTGTCCCGATTGGCCGGGAAGTCCCCCACGAGTGCTGCTCGGTCGGGCATGTCCCTCTACAGGGGGAAAATTCGAGAACGGTCGAAGAAAAAGTCTCTGGGCGATTTTTCCAGTATGTGTTTGACCCTGCTGGATCATTATCTTACTAGTTGGTCATGCTTCGCCCCAAATGCGCCCGTAGGAGGACCTGCCCGACCTGAGAGTACAGTCGGGCCGCTGAAGAAGGAACCCTTTTCGTTTGGGAGGGGCTCCGTGTTCCTCAGTTGTTTTGCAGTGTTCCTTGGGTCTTCCCGAGGTCTTCCATGGAATATCTGAGCTTAACTTCTGGGAAAAAGGGTGCCTCGCTCCTTATCTATCGTTCCCTAGGTCAACGCCCCGACGGTACTGGGTCGGACGAACGAGCGAGCACGACAACCGCTGCAGCCAGGCTCAGATCCCCGCCGCGGCGCGCCCTTCTTCGGTGCAGAGGGGGGTGCGGCGGGCGGGGCGGGCGCATGCGCACCCTGCCGCTGAGGGCCTTCGGTGGAGCTCCCTATGGGGCCACGGACCGTGTTCAGGAGGAAAAGAAACACACAGACACAATTAATCTTCGATTTCCCAGAAAATATAGGAAAATACGGGAATTGGGCGAGAAGACAGAAACCTAGAAAATATGGGAAAATATGGGGGATTATTATTCTATGTGTGTGTATTTATTTGTGTGTCCTTGGGCCCCTTCACCGTGTGACGGGTGTGCCGAAATGGGCGTGCGGATTTGAACGCGGCCACCGTGGCATTCGGTGGAGCTCCCTATCGGGCCACGAACCGTGTGAGGCGTGTGCCGAAATGGGCATGCGGTGGGCGGGGTGGACGCATGTGAACGCGGCAAGGGGGAGCGCCAGGAATCACCACCCACCAAACCACTTCAACCCAACCCGAAGGCCTCAATTTGTCCTCCATTTCCAGTGGGGGGGGTCGGGGAACATTGAAAAAACACATGGAACCTGTACCCCCCCAAACCCGAAATTCGGGTCTTCGGGTTGGGTTGGGGTGGTCTGGTACGTAGTCAAGGAAGACTGGCTTCGCGAGCATTTGTTGACCAGCCCCTCTTTTGCCCTTCTTGCGCCCCCCCCATGTTCTCAAAAAAAATGCACCAGCATAATGTTTCGGAGCTTCGCGCGGAGTTCCTGGATCTGCGCGGGACCCCCGCCCAGCCGACCACCATTTGGGGGTGCGAAGTGGTGATTAGGAATTCGGGGCTCACGCTTGCGGCTTAAATCTGGGCTTGCACATTGGCTGGAGCACCAACGCCCCAGCCACCGTCTTGGAGAGTAGAATAACCCCCCCCCAAGACTCGAAGAACAAAAAACGCCATAAACTTAAAGTTTTGGCGCTCCGCGCGAATTTCATGGATCCGCGCTGGGGCTCCCCCCCTGGCGTCGCCTCCGGCGCCGCCCCTTGCGCGCTCCGCGCGCCAGGGAGGGGGGTCCAGCGCAGGTCCAAGAAGTCCGCGCGGAGCGCCAGAAGTTTATGTTTCTGGCCTTGTTTCTACTTCTGCCGACGTCGTCCGACCCGAGGGGTGGCTGCAGTGCACGGCGGCTCCCGACCCGTGCGCGCTCGGCGGGCCGCAGGCGCCATCGGAGGCTCAGCCCCCCTCCGTCCACGGAGACGTCAGATAGCCCCCGCGGGGGGGAGGAGGAGGAGGAGGAGGAGGAGGAGGAGGAGGAGGAGGAGGAGGAGGAGGAGCAGGAGGGAGGAGGGAGCAGGAGAGGAGGATCAGGAGGATCAGGAGGAGGAGGAGGAGTAGGAGGAGGAGGAGGAGGATCAGGAAGAGGAGGAGGAGGAGGAGGAGCAGGAGGAGGAGGACGAGGAGGAGGAGAGGAGGAGGAGGAGGAGGATAAGGAGGAGGAGGCGAGAGCGTGGGGCCGCCGCCGCCTCAGGTCGGGCGAGGGGTGGGGTCGAGATGCGAGGCTCGCGGTCGCCCTCGTCGCCTCTTGGCGGTCTGCTCCAGCCTCGGGGTGCTCTCTCTCTCTCTCTCTCTTTCTCCTCCTCCTCCCCCTCGATCTCGACCTCGATCTCGACCTCCTCCTCCTCCTCCTCCTCCTCCTCCTCCCCTCCTCCTCCTCCTCCTCCTCCTCCTCCTCCTCCTCTCTCGCTCTCTCTCTCTCTCTCGCTCTCTCTCTCTCTCGCTCTCTCTCTCTCTCTCTCTCTCCTTCCAGCAGCCGAGCCTCGCCGCGAGCTTCCCTCGGGTGCCCGAGTCTCGGCTGCACGTCGCTAAGAGAGTGGCCCGTTCGCCGGAGAGATCTTTTGCTGCGGGCTCGTCGGGCCCCCCCGATCGCCGAGCACGGTGCGCTAGGGGGGCGGACCGCGCGCTTGGATGTGGCCCCTCTGTGCCCCCTTCGTCCGCGCGCCAGTGGTCGCTCTTGCCCGCAGTCAGCCCGCAGCAGGAGGGCGGGCAACCTTCCCAGGGGTACCCTTGCGTCCCTGCCTCCTCGGTCCACCCTTGGGGCCACTTTCGTTGGCCGCGCCCCGCTCGAGGAGCTTCGGGGTGGCCGTCCAAGGCCCCCGGCATCCTTGCCGCGAATCCTTCTGCTACGGGCCGACTGCAGCCGAGAGTCGTCCCGAAGGGCCGCCCGAGGCCCGCGCCGAGCAGACCAGGCGACGAGGATCGGGGCGGCACGCTACCGGACTCAGGGTGGCCACGGCCACGTCCGAGGAGGCGGAGCCGGTCCTGGGAGAGGGGTCGGGAGCTCCGGGGGCCCACGTCACGATCCGAAGCCAGATGGCGTCTGCGACGGAGGAGGAGACCGACGACGACAGCGGCGACGAGGAGGACGAGGAGGAGGAGGAGGAGGAGGAGGAGGAGCAGAAGAAGCCAACACCACCGGTCATCCCAACAATTTTCTATTGCTGTTCGGAAGTTTCAGTGACAGGTTTCGCGGGGCTGTCCGTCACCAAGCGCTCTTTGTGGTCCCAGAGGGTTTATGAGTGAGGCCCATCGGTAGGCAGAGTCTGTCTAATTACGCGTTCCTCTCATCCATGCTCCTCTTACTGACTCGTCCCGGACCAAGGGCGTAAACGGCGACACTTCGGATTGGAAGCCAGGAAGCAGGTTGGCGGCGTTCTGCCGATCTAACGTTTCTAGAGGCAGAGATTGGTTGATGTGGTGCTTCGCTTTGCTGGTGGGCTGCCGGATTGCTGACTGCATTGGTGTTTTGGAGATGTTACGGCAACGCCTACTGGGATCTGTACCGTTCGGACCGATCTATGTGTATTAGCACCCGTATCCGTTTGGAGATTCCTATCAGTCGGACAACCCCAGACGTTACCAGCTCAGTCCAAGTCGTCTGAAATGTGAGGCCCACCTTTTTTACCATAATACGCAGCGCTAGACTTTGGGCACAATGCTTGGGGCTTTCCCTTTTCTCCCCTTCTCTTGTGTGCGCCCCACCGGTTCCGTCTAGTTACGTCTCCCCTGCGACAAGGGTGATGTTGATTTCGTTTGATAGCATGTGTTATGTTACGTATCCGTGGGTATACCAGGTTTACTAGGTGCTGCTTTAGAGAACATACATTCGGCCGCCTTGCTATTGCTTTCAGCTTCTGAGCGTGACAGGCATGGAGCTGACGACGCCCCTGCAGGTGCTGAATAGGCAAGCAAAGGACCAAGAGAGAGTTGTACAGGTCTGATAGACGCATACATCCACAGCTCTGAATGCGATTGGCGGCGAGGCTCAGTGCAGTGACTCCCGCAGTCGTCGTGTTTCAATTCGGAACGTTGGCTCAATAGTGGGGGAGACCAGGAAAAGGTATCACGAGGGAGATAGAGAGTGAAAGTAGAGAGCAAATAGAGGGAGAGAGACGCACACACACACACAAACACACACACACACACACGCACACACAGACACACATTGGGCGAGTGGCAAGCCAAGTCGATCAGTACTAAACAACTTCGCTTGTCGGTGTGCCCATTTTAAGGGTGGAGCTCATGCTCTCTACCGATGTCATGTATGCCAGCCGTTCGAACCCGCAACAGGAGCAGCCGACCCACATGCAGCACATGAAAGCACAGGTGTCATGCTGGTCGAAGAGGAAAGCGCTGTCAGGGCCAAGCCAAAGCTGCCGACGCCATGATCAGCCGACGCAGGATTCGGCAGCTACGAAGGCGCACCTGATCGTTCTCGTTCGTACGAGCTCGACCTGTGCATTGGCTGCGGAAAACAGAGAGAGAGAGAGAGACAACCAACAACAACAACAACAACAACAACAACAACAACAACGACAACGACAACGACAACGACAACGACAACGACAACGACAACGACAACGACAACGACAACGACAACAGCAACAGCAACAGCAACAGCAACAGCAACAGCAACAACAACAACAACAAACAAACAAACAAACAAACAACAAAATGGCTGTGATGTGCACAAGCGACAACTGACTGCCTTGAGGTAGCACAGCAACCTCGTCTGGCACGAGGGCCCCGAGGAGAAGCGGGGCGGCACGGCCAACCCCACACGAGTGCCCAGAGGCCGTGGGGGGGAGGACAAGAGCACGCGCACACGTCTTCGCTTCGAAGCGGACGGTTCGCAGCCAGAAGCAGCAACAAGAGCGCAATGAGGCGCAATCCGACGTGTCAGGCGGAAGGCATTGTGGAAGCAGCAGCATTCTGTGAGTGCAGGAAGCGTGTTTCATCCGTGGTTTTGAAAAATCACTGGCAGTGGAAGGCTCAGACTGCGTGCATCTCGGTGGTCGGGGGAGGGGGAAGAGAGAGCGAGGAGAGGGAGAATGGGAAGGAGCTGGAAAGGAGGGGCGGAGCGTCGAGGCATGGGACGGAGAGCCGGCAAGAGGAGCAGGGAGAGCGGTGGCATCGAGGGTGCGGAAGCCCTTTGCGCATCTTCTCGGGGTCAAGTGCTTGCCCGGCCCTGGAAGAGTCGAGTTGTTCGCAGCGTTGTGTTTGTGCGGTTCCACCCCCCAGCGACAGCTCTTGCCCTGAGGCCGTGCCTGAGTGCCACATATCCAGCAGGATGGATGCATCGACCACCGATCGCCCATTGATCGCCGATAGGGGCCCGATAGCCCACCCCGCCCAGAAACGTGCCGTTTCGCGACCTGGGGCCAAACTATCGCCAGCCGATCAACAATTTCTAAGATTTGTTGTCCCCATTGTTTGTTGTCTGTGTTAGTGACAAACGAGTTGGCCAGCCAGTCGCCACGGAAGGGGAGGATGGAGATGACGGTGACGACGACGACGACGACCACGACCACGACGACCACGACCACGACCACGGCGACGATGACGACGATGACGACGACGTCGACGACGACGACGACGACGACGACGACGACGGCGACGACGACGACGACCATGGCGACGATGACGACGATGACGACGACGATGACGACGACGACGACGACGATGACGACGACGACGACGACGACGACGACGACGACGACGACGATGACGACGACGACGACGACGGGGAGCGGTTTTGTTTTTTAGTTCTCTTTGAGTCGGAGTAAGTCCGAAGCGAGAGCCCCAGTGGGAAAGGGAACAGCGCCCTCCGCCCGCGTGGCTGCCGGAGGCGATCCAGACGGCTGTGCACCGCGCCAGGACGAGGGCCCGATGGTTGGACAGGGACCTTCCTCCTCCTCCTCCTCCTCCTCCTCCTCCTCCTCCTCCTCCTCCTCCTCCTCCTCCTCCTCCTAGTCGCCCTCCATATGTGTGTACTCCAGGTTTCGTAATAAAGGGAGGGGGGTCTCATTTCGGAGGGGGGTCTCTTCCGGGCTATCTGGGAGGGCCTGGGGGGTCTGGGGGCGATGTTTGGGAGGGTTCTCCCACGGGGGGGGCCTGAAATGGCTTGTCTTGGAGGGTCCAGACCCCCTCCCTTTTATTACGAAGTCTGGAGTATGTGCAAGTGTCGGGACGACGGCAGCGTTTCAGACGACTGTGCGCGGCGCTGAGGTGGGAGCCACAAAGTTTGCTAACAGTCCAGTCTCCATCTGTGTCACAGTCGGGGCCCTGAAGAAGGAACCCTTTTTGTTGGGGAGTGGCTCCGCGTTCCTTAAGTGTTTCGCAGCTTGCCTCAGGTTTTCCTTATGTTTCCGATCGGAAATCGAAGTTTAATTTATGGAAAAAGGGGGCATCGTTCCTTACTTTGGGTTCCTCAGGTCAAGGCCCCGACTGTACTGCTGGAAAGGTCGAGGCCAAAGATCTGCATGTTGGGGACGCTCCAGGCGAAGCGTCCGGCCCACCCTGACGACACGCCGGGCCGAGCGACGCGACGAGTCGGCGCTGCTCAGAGGAAAGATCGAATGAACTGCACCCCATCGCGGTGCGATAGCAGAAGGGGGATGTGTGGGCGGAGGGCGAGGGAGAATGACGTGCTGGGAAAGTGGGCGGAGAAGGAGGATGGGCCAGCAGAAAAGGGTGGGCGAGGAGGCGGGGAGGCGCAGGGAGGAGGGGGAGGGGGATGAGGGGGAAGGAGAAAGGGACGGGCGCGGGAGGAGGGGGTGGAGGAGGAGACGGAGGAGCGGGAGCTGGAGGCGGAGGAGGAGGAGGGGGAGGAGGGGGAGCCCGCGGGAGGGCGAAGGAGCGCGGGCGACAAAATGGAATGACTTGATTGGCAGTAGCCTGCTAAGGCGGAGACGTCGCCATCTTTTGCGGCTGGCTGCGTCTCCGTGGCAACCCCTCCTCGGCAGCGCCCTTGCTTGCCAGGCGATGCTGTGTACAGGCCGTGGCTTTCTCGAGAGTGTAGCTTCAGTCGATCTGCTCGGCTGCGCGCATAAGTGACCCTTCGCTGGAGTGACCTTGAGTGCAGGGTCACAGGGGTTCCGCCAGCACTGGCTGTCCCGCTTGGACTGCGTGGATTCGGCCTCCCCCGCGGCCCTCTAGAGCCTCGCTCCAAAGGTCACTCTCGCCCACAGGACGTTCATGCGGCGATGGCGCGCCCCCGACGCAGGCGAAGGTGTTTGAGGTTGAATTCCGCATGATCGAACATCGTGGAAGCATTGAGGGACGCAGTATAGCGCCACAGGACCCGACGGAATTCAAACTTGCAGGACCGGGGCCGCGATCGGTTCAATATTGAACGATCGACGCGGTGTCAAAAGCCTTTGCGCGCGCCGACACCGCACGAACTTACCGTAGGGTCAGTACTGCGTGTAGCCGATGTGCACGATACAGAAGCAGAGCCTCCTTGCCAAAGCAGCACCTTGATACTGAAGTGGCAGCCCCGGTGGCAGAGGTCGAGGATCTACGTGCACATGCGTGTCTTGTAGCGTACAGACGGTGGTCTGTTTTCGGGCAGGCCCACGGAATACTAGAACCATCGATTCCATATGCGTATAAGCAGTAGACAGATGTGTGCGCACAGTGATTTGCAAGGTATATAGATATACATATATATGTGTGTGCATATGGAGGCGAACGCTGTGCGGCCTTGTTTTATTGACCGCGTACTATCAAAAAGTAACGCTTCAACGAGGCGAAAACAACAATTCTAATCTCAAGAACCTTCAAAGACACTGTGCGTTCTGAGTGTTCATGTTTTCCCCATATCCTAAGATGGGGTTCTTGTTATTACTTGGACGCCTCCTACGCCTTCTCCTTCCTCCTCCTCTTTTCTCCTCCCCTCCTGTCGGACATACTCAGACTTGCTCATACACATCAGACCTACTCATACTCAGACTTACTCACACTCAGACATACTCATATACAGACTTACTCATACACAGACTTACTCATACACAGTATTAGTCATACCCAGACGTACACATACACAGACTTACTCATACACAGACTTACTCATACTCAGCACCCCTAAGGGGAGCCGCCAGGGGTGGTTGCACGGGCTCGTTCGCGGCCATTTTGTGGGGATGTCTCAGGCGGTTTGCCTGTTTCTGTGCCCAACATCCTTCGCTTTCGGAGCAGATTTGGAGGATGTCTCGAGCGAGGCGCTCATTTCAGCACCCCTAAGGGGAGCCGCCAGGGGTGGTTGCACGGGCTCGTTCGCGGCCATTTTGTGGGGATGTCTCAGGCGGTTTGCCTGTTTCTGTGCCCAACATCCTTCGCTTTCGGAGCAGATTTGGAGGATGTCTCGAGCGAGGCGCTCATTTCAGCACCCCTAAGGGGAGCCGCCAGGGGTGGTTGCACGGGCTCGTTCGCGGCCATTTTGTGGGGATGTCTCAGGCGGTTTGCCTGTTTCTGTGCCCAACATCCTTCGCTTTCGGAGCAGATTTGGAGGATGTCTCGAGCGAGGCGCTCATTTTCACCCCCCAGGTGGGCCAGATTTTGAGGATGTCTCGATCGGTTTGCTAGTTTTGGTGGCCAGGCTCGTGGGCGCAGATTCTTCTCAGGATGCCACAGGAGGCTCCAACAGGCTCCAGGAGGCTCCAGGAGACCACATGAGGTCCCAGGAGGCATCAGGAGGCCACAGAAAGACTCAAGAGGCCACAGGATGTCCCAAGAGGCTCCAGGAGGCCCCAGGAAGCTCCAGAAGGCCTCAGGAAACCACAGGAGGCCCCAGGAGACAACAGGAAGCGCCAGGAGGCCTCGGAAGGCAACAGGAGGCCCCGAGAGGCCCCAGGAGCAGGAGGCCTCAGAAGGCAACAGGAGTGGCTCCAATCCCATGTGTTTTACGTATGCTCCTATCGATTGGGCCTCACCTGGAGCACGATTCTTTGATGTTCTACGTATGTTTCTATAGATGGTCCTTCTCCTGTGTACACAATCCTAAATGTTTTACTCATGTTCCTATGTATTGGGCCTCTCCTGGGGCACGAGTCCTTGGTGTTTT